GCCGGCACCGCCTCCCCGCGGGCGTCCTGGGTGCTGAAGACCTTCCCATAGTACTCGATCAGCAGCTCAGTGAACAGGTTCAGGGGCACCAGGGCACCCAGGGAGGACGCCCCCTGGGACGGCCAGATCAAATTCAGCCCGAAGACGCAGGCCAGGTTGGAGCTGGTCATCTTGTTAAAAATGCTCTCCCGGGATACCTGCAGGGCATGAGACGGGTGACCCATGGGTCCCGTGCAGGGAACACACTGGATTGGGAGCCAGGGCTGTGACCTTGTGCTGCCACCTCCCTGCTCTGGGCCTCAGCTGCCCCATCTGTAAGGGGAAGGGACCGGCCTTGATGCCTGAGGGACCCTCTGGCTCTGACCTACAGTCTCCTCTGGGACCCCTCAGCCTCCCTCAGACCCCTCTTCTACCCCAGCGGCGGGGCCTCTAGCACAGCAGGCATGGGCAAGGCCCCTGGCTTCACCCAGCAGACGGCCTGGGACACAGCCCCTCCCTCCCCAATGCCCCGCCCCTCTGGACAGGAGACGACGTGGGAGCAGAGGCCCCAAGAAAGAAGGTCAAGGACAACAGCAAGGGCAGTGGTGCAGGTGGCAGGAGTGGGCCTGGGCGGCCCCAGCCGGCAGCGCCCAGGGCTGCTCAGTGGAGTCACTGCCCACCAGGCCTTGGATGAAGCCCTCTGGAGCCAGGGGGTGGCATTCCTAGGCCGAGGGAGGGTGACCCCGGACCTGGTCTGCGGCTGACATGGAGGCCAGACCCCCTGGCAGCCTGCCCGGCGCTCACCTCGTGCAGGAAGCCCATGAGGTAGCTGAGGACCGCGTAGTTGTGGTCTGGCAGGCCCCGCAGGATCTGCCGGCAGCGGGTCACGCGCAGGCTGCTCTCCACACCTGCCACGGCACGGGGGGCGGGGGGCAGGGGTCCCTCCTGAGTCCCCCTGAGGGGAGGGCCCAGGTGCAGGGGACAGTGCCCCGATGGCCTGGAGCTCCTACTCCCAGCCGAGCAGCTGTTCTCAGCAAACCCTCTCTCCCCCAGCTCCCTCCCTGCTTGAGCGCCTGGCTGCTGCCTCCCAGAAAGCTGCTCACTGGATAAGTGGGAAGGCAGGCCGGGCGCTGGCAGACTGCAGCCCGAGGGCCTGGGGGCCAAGTGGCAGACTTTTATCAATAAAGCTTTATTGGCACAGCCACACCCGTTCATTTACATATTGTCTAGGGCAGGGGTCCTCAAACTTTTTAAACAGGGCCAGTTCACTGTCCCTCAGACCGTTGGAGGGCCGGACTATAGTTTAAAAAAAAACTATGAACCAATTCCTATGCACACTGCACATATCTTATTTTGAAGTAAAAAAATAAAATGGGAACAAATACAATATTTGTATTTGCATGTGGCCCGCGGGCCGGAGTTTGAGGACCCCTGGTCTAGGGCTGCTTTGCAGAGTTGAGTCTGAGATGTTTACCATCTGGCCCTTTACAGAAAAGGTGGCTGACCCACTCGAGACCAGCTTCCCTGCTCATGGTTCTCAGTGACTCAGGGCTCACACCCACCCGGGGTGGAGCTGTCCCAGGTTCTGAGACCCCAGTTCCTCTTAACTGAACTCCCACCGAGCTTTGTAAGCTGCAGGTCAAAACTCACCAATCAGCAAGCATTCCCCAGGCTCCCGCTGCGGAAGCACACGCACTCACTCGCATACACACACATGTACACACGCACACATGCACTCACACACAGGCACGCACACACATTCTCCCACACACCGCCTTCCACATACACACACACACACTCCCTTCCACACATACACACATGCAGATACTCACATGCACACACACACTCACATTCATGCACACACACTCATATGCACTCACAATAAGCACTCACACACAGACACACACAATCCTTTACACACACGAATACTCCCTTACACACTTACACTCTCACACACACATACACACTCGCACACCCCAGTCCTCGGCGTGCTGACCTCCCACCACGCCCTGGGCAGGGTTACCACCAACACGTGCTTTACACACACAGCTGCTGCTGCAGGAACCCGCCCCCCGGCCCCCGGACACGGGCACAGAGCCTGTGAAATGGGTATTTCCGTGGAGCCAGCAAGCCAGGCTCCCCTGTCCTGGCACTCGGCCCTCCAGCTCACCCTGTCTTTCCAGGAACAACGGCCCCCGAGGGGGTCCCGGAGCAGGCGCCACCTCCAGCTCGCACCGCAACCCCTTCAGAGGGAGCCTCCCAGGCCAGAGCAGGGACCCGCCCGC